TGTAAGCTGTTTCACACAGATGGAGTTCATCTTCCTTTTCTTTTTCATTTTGAATTTCAGCTGTTTTAAACAGTTGGCGTTCGTCTGCCTTTTCATATTCTTCTACTTCACTTCTAGCTGTTTCATTCAACCGGAGTTCATCTTCCCTTTCTTGTTCCGTTTCTGTTTCAGCTGTTTCATACACTTGGAGATCAACTTCCTTTTCTTTTTCTATTTCGGTTTCATCTGTTTCAAATAGCTGTTCATCTTCCTTTTCTTGTTCAATTACAGTTTCACCTGTTTCACACAGCTGAAGGTAATCTTTCTGTTCTGGTTCTACTTCAGTTTCAGTCTCTTCATATATTTGAAGTTCATTTTCCTTTTCTTGTACAAATTCAGTTTCATCTGCTTCATACAGTTGCAGTTCATCTTCCCTTCCTTGTGCGTCATTGGCATCTGTTCCACACAGTTGCAGTTCGTCTTCCTTTTTTTGTTCTTCTACTTCAGCTCCGGCTGTTTCATTCAGTTGGAGTTCATCTTCCTTTTCCAGTTCATCTTCTTTTTCCTGTTCTTCTACTTCTATTTCAGCTGCTTTATACAGTTGTTTATGTTCCTTGACTTCCTTTTCTTCTTTTGTTTCTTCTTCTTCTTCTTCTTCTTCTTCTTCTTCTTCTTCTTCTTCTTCTTCTTCTTCTTCTTCTTCTTCTTCTTCTTCTTCTTCTTCTTCTTCTTCTTCTTCTTCTTCTTCTTCTTTTTCTTCTTCTTCTTCTTCTTCTTCTTTTTCTTCGCGTTTCTTTTCTTCTCCTTCGTCTATAAACTTTTCAGTTTGTTTGTGATGCCTCGAATATATTTCTTCACCCAGAGTCCCTTGTTCAGCTGTGATCACCTGAACATCCTCATTTCCCTGCATTCGGTCATACCCAGTCACCTCTAGAACACTCTCCATGGACACCCCAGATGAGACCGAGGCAGTACTGAAGCTTTTGCTCCATGACTTGCCATCTGCTTTCTCCTCGGAGAGTGACAACGTTTCCCACGCTTCAGAATCTGTTGCCTCTTCCAGAACGTCGTGTTGCTGTGTGGAACAGATGGAGATATCTCTCTGTGTGAATTCCTCCGAGGAGTGTGTGACCAAGGTACTGAGGGACGAATCTTTAACTGTTACATCATCAGGTGTATGCTGCAGCCCTTTCTGACTTGCAGTTTCGGACTCAGAGCCGGTGGATGTATGCAAATATGAGGAACCCTGGTAAAATTCTGCTTCTTCACGTAAGACCTCAGTACGTGTACCATATACCTCGTGACTGTTAGTATTGATAAAGTCAAAGTTTTCACTCACAAATACATCGTCTTCGTGTCCTACGTTGTCACAACTGACATTATCATCCGCGGCATTGTTGCCCATGTCGATTTCATTGTCGTCAGCAAAGCTTTGGCAAAAATCACCGACAAAATATGGACGTATTTCAAACTCCATGGTTGTCTGTTTCCGGTCACAGACGTCTTCTTCTAGCAGAGCCTCTGGTGTTGCTGCCCGGTTGAACACATCAGTATCTCTAGGGCTGAAGATCTGGTAGTCAATCACTTCTGAACATGTCTGCAACCAAGCTGGAACTTCCATAACATTTGTTGTGGCCAAGTCGCTATACTTGTCAAACTGTAAATGCCTTTGTGATGTGGAAAATTCACGCGATTCGGAGTCGCTAGATGGACGCAATGTTTTATCAGTTTTAGTTTGTGGCGTGTAGGCAGATGATGGTGTGATTAGTTGATGGCCTTCATTGTCTCGTAGACTTGGACTTTTTTCTTCATGACTTGTGGCTGATGCATGTTCTTCGTGACTTGTGGCTGGTGCATGTTCTTCGTGACTTGTGGCTGGTGCATGTTCTTCTTGATTTTTAGTTGTCACATATTCTTGTTGACTTGTAGCTGACACAAAAGTTGCATCGGAAACTGTGATATTTTGAAATGTTTGGTCAAATGTTTCAGCTAATGTCGAGGCATAGTTGGTTATTGGCACGTTTCCGTCCAAGTCAGTGGAATCTGTTCTTTGTAACAGTTGGGTCGTGGGAGACCTTGACTGAGATTCGACATCACACAAACTGCCATTTTTGTGTGTACCAGCCAACACGAGATAAGCAGCTTCATTCACATGATCAGTGTGATTGTGTGAATTGGTATGATGTTCAATTGCACTAAGAACATTGTCTTGTTGATCAGCGGGCTCTCTGACAATTGGTGTGTTATCTGGCTCACTTATGTCATTGTCTGGTGGTTCGATGTGTTTTATCTCCGAAACTCTGTTGTCATGAACAGACTGACTTCTAGACAACAAAACTTCAAGAGCATCAGTGCTTGTTTCTTGGTAGATTTCTTGTAATCTTGTCTGAACGTAACCAGTTTCTTGCTTCTGTGTTTGATTATTTTCACTGGAATGAAGGACAGCAGCGTCGCCGTGTACAATCAGTTTGGCGGAAGATTCGGTTGTGCAGCTGTCTGGTTTGTACACAATGTCAGAAATATCGACTGTCTGTGGAATGATAATGGCTAGCACGCGGGTTATGCTTTCCGTGTACACATTGTGTCTGATTTGGGGAGTTTTGGCCAACAGAGCTGTTCTCTTTGTGAAAATGGCGGGACGCTGAATGGCGTCTAAAAAACTGGCAATCTTGATCATGTCAGGGGTGAAGGATGACGTTGCGTGCGGGCGGCGATCTATGATGAGATGTACTAAGAAATGCTGTTGTGACAGTGTGGTCCCATTCGTATTGTGTGGATCACAGTACGGGTAGTTGTAGCCCCTGGTTACAGACAGCATATACTGTACCAGAACATCGGCGTCAGAAGACTCCGTGCTTTCATTATTCGCAGACTCACTAGAGGATTCCTGAAATACTGGATAGTTTGGCTGACCTGTACCCTGTGTTATCACTGGCTGTTGCATCTTGCTTGGATTAACAGCGAGCTGTGTTTCTGTTGCAACACTAGAATCGTCAGATAAAGCCTCACTTCTGATGTCTGCCTTAGCATTATGTATCATTGGCAGTGTGTTTTCATTAATGTTTGGCACAGGTTCTGTTGCTGTTGTTTCAACGTACTTTTTGTTACTAACTTCAGGCAGAGGTTCGGTCAAATTTATGTACATGTGACTTGAGACTTTCTTGTCAATCAAATACTCACAAGTCTCTTTCTCATCCCTAATGCTAGAAAAATGCGCCTGGTCAGAAATGGAATTTTCGAGTTTGAAATCGTTCTCTTCTATATGATGTTCTTCTGAGGTATTTGATGAGGTCATGTCGGTGCTTGCCCATGTCTCTCTATACTTGGTCTCTATGTCTGTGTGACCAGACTGAATACTGGGCGAATCATCAGCAGAAGACCACACTGGATATGTGTTGAGTGCTTCGATACCGAGTGGCAGTCTCCTGCCGTCATTGGCATCTGCAAATAATTTCACTGTCTGAGATTCAGAACCACGATCTTGTACATATTCTGGGTAGTCTTGGGTTTTTGTTTGGTCTTCTTGTCTGGTATTAGCAGCTGTGGGCAAGACTGAATTATTATTATTTATTCCACTTTGACCTTCGTCTTCAGGCATACGGTGATCATTGGTCCCATCTTGTGATATTGAAACTGGCTGGTCATTGGCGGGGATTTCCGCATCTTCTTTGTCCGATGAACACTCCTGACTTGCAACTCCAGATAAGAAGTACCCTCTTTCATTTTCTTGCTGATCTGCTATAATCTGAGCAGACGAAGTACTTTGTTGCATACTAGTTTCTGTAGTTTGTTGGAGTGCTTCCAGAGAGAGACCATCTGTTTCTGTTGGCGTTTTATATATCGCATTACAATATTCTCCCGTGTCCCTTTGATCATGTTCATCAGTAGTAAATTCACTGCTGTTTTGCTGACAGTGTTCTTCAGTAAGGAGCTCACTGCTGTCTTGTTGACCATATACTTCAGTAAGGAGCTCACTGCTGTCTTGTTGACCATATACTTCAGTAAGGAGCTCACTGCTGTCTAGTTGACCATATACTTCAGTAAGAAGCTTACTGCTGTCTTGTTGACCATATACTTCAGTAAGGAGCTCACTGCTGTCTTGTTGGTCATATACTTCAGTAAGGAGCTCACTGCTGTCTTGTTGGTCATACACTTTAGTAAGGAGCTCACTGCTGTCTTGTTGACCATATACTTCAGTAAGGAGCTCACTGCTGTCTTCTCGACCATAAACTTCAGCAAGGAGCTCACTGCTGTCTTGTTGACCATTTACTTCAGTAAGGAGCTCACTGCTGTCTTGTTGGCCATATGCTTCAGAAAGGAGCTCACTGCTGTCTTGTTGGCCATATACTTCAGTGGGGAGTTCGCTGCTGTCTTGTTGGCCATATGCTTCAGAAAGGAACTCACTGCTGTCTTGTTGGCCATATACTTCAGTAAGGAGCTCACTGCCGTCTTGTTGACCATATACTTCAGTAAGGAGCTTACTGCTGTCTTGTTGGCCATATACTTCAGTAAGGAGCTCACTGCTGTCTTGTTGACCACATACTTCAGTAAGGAGCTCACTGCTGTCTTGTTGGTTATATACTTCAGTAAGGAGCTCACTGCTGTCTTTTTGGCCATATACTTCAGTAAAGAGCTCACTGCTGTCTTGTTGACCATATACTTCAGTAAGGAGCTCACTGCTGTCTTGTTGGCCATATACTTCAGTAGGGAGTTCGCTGCTGTCTTGTTGGCCATATACTTCAGTAAGGGGCTCACTGCTGTCTTGTTGGCCATATACTTCAGTAAGGAGCTCACTGCTGTCTTGTTGGCCATATACTTTAGTAAGGAGCTCACTGCTGTCTTGTTGGCCATATACTTCAGTAAAGGTCTCACTGCTGTCTTGTTGACCGTGTTCTTCAGTAGGAAACTCACTGCTGTCTTGTTGGCCATTTACTTCAGTAAGGGGCTCACTGCTGTCTTGTTGGCCATATACTTCAGTAAGGAGCTGACTGCTGTCTTGTCCGTGTTCTTTATTAGGGAACCCACTGCTGTCTTGTTGGCCATATACTTCATTAGGGAGCTCACTGCTGTCTTGTTGACCAAGTATTTCAGTAAGGAGCTCACTGCTGTCTTGTTGACCACATACTTCAGTAATGAGCTCACTGCTGTCTTGCTGACGTTGTTCTTCAGTAAAGTGTTTATTGCTTTTTGGTTGACCGTGTTCTTCACTAAAGTGCTCACTGCTGTTTTGCAGTTCTTCATTAGGGAGCTCACTGCTGTCTTGTTGACCATATTTTTCATTAACAAGATCGCTGCTGTCTTGCTGACGATATGTTTCATTAAAGAGCTCACTGCTGTCTTGTTGATCGTATTCTTCAATAAGAAGCTCTCTGTTGTCTTGTTGACCATATTCTTCAGTGAAATGCTGACTGCTACCTTGTTGACTATATTCTTCAGTAGGAAGCTCATTGATGTCTTGTTGACCATATTCTTCAGTAAAGATCTCACTGCTGTCTTGTTGACCATGTTCTTTAGTGAAATGCTGACTGCTGTCTTGTTGGTCATATACTTCAGTAGGAAGCTCACTGATGTCTTGTTGACCATATTCTTCAGTAAAGATCTCACTGCTGTCTTGTTGACCATATTCTTTAGTGAAATGCTGACTGCTGTCTTGTTGATCATATACTTCAGTAAGGAGCTCATTGCTGTCTTGTTGATCATATTTTTCATTGAAATGCTGACTGATGTCTTGTTGACCATATACTTCAGTAAGGAGCTCATTGCTGTCTTGTTGATCATATTTTTCATTGAAATGCTGACTGATGTCTTGTTGACCATATACTTCAGTAAGGAGCTCATTGATGTCTTGTTGACCATATTCTTCAGTAAGGAGCTTACTGCTGGCTTGTTGACCATATACTTCAGTAAGGAGCTTACTGCTGTCTTGTTGACCATATACTTCAGTAAGTAGCTCACTGCTGTCTTGTTGACCATATTCTTCAGTAAGGAGCTCACTGCTGTCTTGTTGACCATATTCTTCAGTTAGGAGCTTACTGGTGTCTTGTTGACCATAAACTTCAGTAAGGAGCTCACTGCTGTCTTGTTGACCATATACTTCAGTAACGAGCTTATTGCTGTCTTGTTGACTGTGTTCTTTAGTAAAGTGCTCACTGCTGTCTTGTTGACCAAGTGTCAGTGCCTGAGCAATATCAACGGAGGACTCACTGATCGGAGAAAAGAAAAGATATTTGTTGTCTTCGTTGGAATTGTCTACCGATATGGCCATCTCGTTATTAATGTCTTTTTCAGATGTCACATTTTCAAATGTGGTGTCACCGGCTTCGCTGTTCACTAACATTGAACGGGTATCTTTATAATTTAGCTCGTTGCTTTGGTCCTTTGAAATATCAACACTAGTTTCTTTGATTTCTTTTGCGCACTCAAGGTTCTTGCTGTCATATTTATTACATTCGTGCGATTGTGATTGATCATTTTCGTGGAGAGATTGAATGTCCTCTATCGTTTTAGATTTATTAACATCTACATTTTCTGTTGCTTTGGTGTTTCCTTCTTCCGCGAAACCATCTATAGATGTCGCAAGTCTGTATAGATCTGTCTCTATCATTGGGGCAACAGAAATGCTTAGCCCAGCATATGCCAGCCGCTTGACACTATCAAGATCGCTTTCTTCATCGACAGTGCATATCTGTTGCGTGTCAACTCTATTAAATGGATTTTCATGTTGTTTTGGAGAAGCCTGTAAAAAGGGATCATCCAAAGCATCCGCTTGGTCCACAGAAGAGCTTGGCTCCACAGTGATTCCAAAGAGGTATTGATTCTGGCTGAAAGATACCGGCCCAGATTCTATCGTTTGCTGCTGCCCTGACCCTAGTAAATGATCTACAGAACTGCTGAACCTGCTGAGATCGATGTTGCGTCTGTAAATGGCATATTGCCTGGAGCAGGATTTAATAAAGTCATCGTCAGAACAGCAGACACTTAATGGTGGCGGGTGAATGCTGATATCATCAACCGAGGAACTCATTTCTCCATTCATCGCGTTTTCCTGGTGCGTTTCGTGAGTTGTTCTTTGCTGGTTTGATGCTTGTTTTGTTTCCGGGTTCGAGTTGTATCTGGAAGATCGAGGATTCCCGCCCCTGTAACGCAGATGTACCGTACTACTTGCAGTGGCTGATATATTGGTGAGGTCGTCTACGGAAGTACTCAGATCTGACTGTGGACCTGGTTTAGGCGGCGTTCGGCACTGGGGATACCTATACAGGTCATCGACAGAGGAACTTCTTGGTGAGGCACTTGAGGTTTGCATCGGTGGTTGTATTGCTTCTATGTCGCTTAGACTTGAATCTATATCTGCAGAATTTAGCTCTTCTTTCTTTGTAATGCATAACGTTGACATAGACTCAGCTTCAGTGGGCGCGCCTTCTCTGGTCTCACCAGCGGGTGCCGCTGTTGACCCGGAAACTGATGCTGCAGTACTATCGTCTGCTGGAATGGGTGTTACTACACGCGTCGTTTTGTTATTATCCGTGGCCGCGTTTTGTTCTCTAATATTTAACGTGTTAACGGAGTCCCTGTCGTCATCCTCATCTGAATCATCCCCGTAAGGTGCGTCATCTCCAACGGACATTGTCTCAGAAGAGGACAGAACATCAGAGGAACTGTGGAATGCTTCAGAGTCGATATCAGACGTGGACATATACATCCCTGTGTCGTCACTGGCGGACATATCTGTGTCAGCGCCGGGTGAGAGAAGAGCTGTGGCTACGTGCTCTGTTTGGTAACTCGCATTGTCAAGGTTCAAATCCTTAGAACTTTCAGAGGAAACTTCTTGTTTTTGCCTCTTGGCTTCAAGACATTCTTCGATCTCGATCGTATGTTTGTGTCTGGTCTGTGTGGAACATTGTGTATTTATGGAAAGGCTTTTTATTGTATCATTTTCTGTTTCCGAACTGACCTCTCCACTTACACGAAGAAATGGGTCATCTAATTGGGAATCCTCGACCGGAGTGTCTCTTTCCGAACAGGTAAACATATCATAGAATGTAAGAGTCGAAATATCTTGTCTTTCATCATCATATTCAGTCGCAATTCCTTCAACATGTCGACACTTTTCTCTCAGCTCAAAATCATCCACAGGATCGCCATCATCTCCAGCGTGAGCTTGATGCTGTCGCCTCATGGACGTGGCACCAGCAGACATGTCATCCTCCAGTATCCTGTCTGCAATGGGTGAGTGGATGATGGTATCCATCCAGTATTTCAGATACTCCTTCTCCTGTTCCACACCAGCTTGATGACCATCACTATCATCTTTGTTGAAGGCCCATGCCCAGCAAAACTCATTCGCCCACACCTCGTCTCCTTGTGGAAGTTCTGGAGCAGGGTCAGGAAGCAAAGGCGGATTCATAAACTCTTCCTGTAGGCATTCTGATATGCTGTCCTTCCGTAGCTGAAACAAGCAAACATACAAATGTGTTTTTGGCCAATACATAATACAAAACTGTCGCATGGCAACACTTACAATAAATTTACCCCTCCCCAGAAACAATTTGGTGTAGTTAAATGAACCATTTCCCACGCCTCCATGTGTACTGAGCATGTATATTTAATAGAGCAGTTGGCACTCATTGGATTATGTGGTCATCAACATGCCGGCCGCTGTTACTTCCCAGGACTTTTCACAGTCAGGCTCCGTTCGGATTTGAACCCGCGACTTTGAGATCAGCAGGCAGACTTCTAGCTGCTACACGTTGGCGCATCTGTCACGGGTAAAGTAAGTCAAGTCAGTAGGTTAAGGACCCTGGTCACACCAGTTGCGTTTCAAGCACTTGATTCTGAACTCATTTTTATAGACCAATCGGAACTCAGTGGGTTATATACAGTGCAATTCAGATAAGGGGAACTCACAGAAAATCCAACAGTTGGTCCTTCTTATCACAAATTTCTCTTATCAAGATAAGAGTTCAAACACGAAAAATTGCCGGGATGAACAAAGGGTTCTTCACAACAGAAACTTCGCCACACCCTACATCGCTTTAAGCGGTCAGCTTTGAATACAACATCTTGTGGACAACATTTACTTTCCCAGACTTTGGCTAGCTAGTTTCTATTGTTTATGCTGGGCCGACCTGGCAGCCAAGATCGCCTTTAACAAATCAGTCATGCTGTGGGTTCGAACCTGAGATCTTCGGACCGACAGGCGATTGTCTAACCGCTCCTCTATCGCTGCTCCGAGCAGTCACGAGTGACCTAATCATAACTTTCAAGGACATTCAATGGGGTATTTAGGATTCGTCATGTTGGATTTAGCATGCACCATGTGACGTTTTGCGTTGCAGAGATAGTGAAAACATTCGGTTAGCGGCTCAGATGAAGGAAAGACAAAACATCTGTTATTCAATCAGGTTTCTCCCAGCAACGACTGTGGATCTGTCCAGGGGATCCACATTGCAAGAGAAGCTATGGATGACCATTGGCGACCTTAAACGCACAATCCTATTTTTGACCCAGACGGGGCTCAATGTTTAGCATGACTGATGAACGCAGAAGAAGAAGAAATCAGGTTTCAAGCACTTACTACGCATCCTAGTGTTCATGTTCGAGTGATAGTTCGAAGAAAACGAAGATGAAAATCCCAAGAAAATTTAAAGAGTGCACAGTAACTGGTGTTATTAAAACAAGATCGCTTACATTTGCTATCTGTGGGCGTGTATGTGTCTGTGTGTTCATGTGCACGCGCCACCTGTTGTCAGATTCTACATAAGGGTGTAGAATAAAGAACAAAAAAAAAAAAAAAAAAGAAATACCCCACCCCCATCTTGTCCATCCAGTAAATCACGCTGGGTGTGTAAGTGTATCGCAGACATAATTGCAGAATACAGAAGAAATCATAACGATTATGAATAAGCAGAACACTTATCGTCACCGTTATTCAAATGTACCGTCATACACCACAAAATGCTGGAGTCGACACTTTTGTTCTAATGTATAAAAACCATTGAACAAATAGAATAACCCAATGCCACCTGAATAATGAACATATAGAACAATACCGTGGAGATAATGATCGAATAGAGCAATACCTTAGGAATAATGGCCAAAGAGGGTACTTGCCTTTAGTTTAAAATAAAACTGAACAAATAGAACAAACCGTACCATGTGAATAATGAACATATAGAACAATACCATGGGGATAATTTTCGAATAGAACAATACCATAGGGATAATGATCAAACAGAATAAGCTGCATCAAGTATGAATGCAATTGAAAAAAAAAAATA